TTTATTATTTTTAAAATTAATTTTATTGAGAAATAGCAATGAGACAGTTTCAAAACAGGTTAGTAGGACAGTTGCAATAATTACTACATTGCATATTGTGGTTTTATAGTAGTTATTCATAGTACAAGATGCAGACATGGTATCCTGTCCAAACACTATTAGTACTAATCTTTTTTCTCATTGAACTAAGAGAAAATAGCTGTATATCTATCCTAATGTATATATATATTCACTGCAAAATAGTCCTTCATTTATATTCCCCTTTTTTGTTTAATTTTGTCAGAGATGGATATTCCATTGCCACTCAAATATTGTAGGTATGTGAATTCAGCAAAATAATCCAATATAGTCTTGTAGCTAATAATAGTAGTGGGTTATCCATAGGACTGGCAATATCAGAAGTTGTTGATTTGAGCCTTTTATAGTTCAGCACATTAATATGGCTTTGCTTTTTTTTTTTTGTGGAACCGGGGATTGAACTCAGACCCTTGTGCTTGCCAGGCAAGCGCTTATTCTACTGAGCCATCTTCCCGGCCCAGCTTTGCTTTTTGTACCTCGTGTTTATACTTTTCTGCTGGATGGTTAAAACCAAGCTAAAGCAAGACTTACGTAACAAAAATGTAACTTTTGTATCTGACAAGATCAGTCCGATTCCCTCAGGATTTACCCTCAAGCCATGTGCAGTAGACCTTTTGTCAGTGTCAGCCATGTGGATGAGTCATGGCAATTGCTTGACCAATTTGCTCTCTGTGAAAGCCTGAGAGAATCTTTTCTCTCTAGGTGACTCTCCTTAGACACATTCTACATCATCAATCAATTTCCTCTGTGGCCCCATAATCTCCCTGAACAGAAAATTTGGGATACCACTGAGTTACAGGATGTTACAGTGCAGGTTCTCTTATGTCCTGAGTTCTCACTGACCTTGAGGGGCAATTTGAGAAGAAACTTCAAAATCATTTGTCAACTTTTAAAAGTTAAGTTTTTCTGAATGGGAAAACCTCCTTATCTAAAAGTGGACTTGTTAGTTTTCTCATCCTGAGCAGCGGTTGTCTCCTGCTGGAGTAAATGTTTCAGATTAGGAAATTCAATCCTTCCTCCTCATCTCAGTACAACCTGAGAACACCCAGCTCTCTCCTCAGCAGACCTGGTTCCCAGGCTTAGGCCCAGGACATTTGCTTCCCTGGGCTCAGGCGAGATGGGAAGGGCAGCTGGACTGGACTTAGATCAGCACCCAGGAACTCTGATGAGCTCTTTCTTTCCATCTCAGCTGAGCAGATCTAGGGTCTGAACTTTGTGGAACTTAGACATTCAAAATTATAAAATGAAATTTACCATTCTGGTTTTTTAGCCTCTCTTTCTCCCCCTTTGCCTCTTCTTTCTGTCCCATTCTCTCGGTCTCTCCAAATCACACATACATATTTCAAGCTGTGTATCAGTATAACAGGGAACATTTATGATAAAATGTGCAAATTACATCTCATTCAATTTTCTTTTCTACAAGGATTATCAAATGTCTGTTTTTATACTTTTTTTAATTTATGTCAGAGAATCCTGAATTCATTAGTCACATCTTTCCTTATGTTTTTTTATAAAAGTCAGTTCCAGGTTGATACTTAATAATATTATTCTGCCTCTAATGGCATTCTGTGAAGCAAGTGTACCCTGGACAGAAGGAAATTACTTGAAACTCCAAATCCCCGCACATGCAGCCATCTTGAGGGCAGAGCTGAGGCAATGTCTTCATACACGGATATCATGCATATCACTCAGATGGGGCTGTGGACTCACGCTTAGTCATCCAAGGAAGCTAAATTGCCTCCACCTCTTCACCCCGCCCTGCACCCCACCTAGGCCCTTACCATCACAGCTGCGCCCTCAGGAATGAGTGCTCCTGTTTCTAGCGGTGTTCCATGTGTGCCTGTAGTTTCTAGCCCAGGTTGAGAGAACCTTCTGGCGCATGCCTGCACCTGAGATGTAACAGGATCTGTACTTTTAGAGCTTTTGAATTCTATTTTCCTGCATATCACTGAAATCACTAAAATTTGCTGAATTTCTTTGTGTCCCCTTTTGTCAGACTGAGGTAATGGTATCCTCCAATACAACTGTATTAGTACTTCTGAGATTTCTCATGCCCATTACCATATATTTTACCTATTTGGCTGCACTGATATTTGTTGCATATATACTTATTATTGTTATCACTTCCTCTTTGACTGTTCCCTTTGCAAGGATGTAGTGATCTTAAAGTCTGTCTTAATCAGTCTTGGCTTAAAATTCACTTTGTCTAAAATGGAATATCTGTTTTTTTCTGGGTTCCTGTCACATACAGTATTGTTGCCAATTTTTGACTTTTCATATGCATATTGTTGGATCTTGCTTCCTGATCCATTCCGCTGGTCTGTGTCTTTTGACTGGTGAACTAAGACCATTAACATTGAGGATTTTAACAGAAATGTTTTGACTTATCTTTGTCACATTATTCTCCTGTTGTTAACTCACCTTCTTTCTTTTTTATGTATTTGGTCCAGGGTCTCACTATGCAGCTTGGTCTCATAGTGATCCTCCTGGTTAAGCCTCCCCAGCCCTGAGATTACAGGCATGTACCATCATGCCCAGTCTTGCTGGCTGGCTCAGCGGGCCTGGTGACAGGGCTGGCATGACATGTAGTTCCAGGGATCGAACTCCTGTCCCTGTACTTGTTTAAGTAGGCACTTAGTGCACTGAGCTATCTCGCTAGCCCTCAATTTCTTTTCTCCCTCCTTCTGTTTAATTGTTTATCTTGTCTGCTTTCTTCAATTTGTTGGGGTTCATGGAGCTGTAGTCCTTGCTGTCTCTTTCTAAAATGGCCTTCAAAACATATTTCAGTGCTGATTAGGTGGTCATAAATTTCCTCAGATGTTCCTTGTCATTGAAGTATATTATTTCTGAGCCAGATTTGCAAGATTGTTTTTCAGGGTACAACAATCTATGTTCAAGGTTGTTTTTCTCTAGGACTTGAAATTCTTCACAGCAAGGTCTCCTTGACTTGAGGATGTGTTCTGAGAAGTCAGCTGGGATTATGATGGTCTTTCGTGTATGAGCATTTTTTTTAACTTTTCCCTTTAATATTCCAATCTTGTGTTTAAGAAATTCAACACAGGAAAGAATTTGCTCTTATGTAGAATTTCCTGTGGACTACAAAGAAGGAAAAGAAAATGAAAAGACACTTAAACAATAAGCAAACCCGGTTCACCAAAGGCAAACTCAGGGCGCAATGAGGTGGGACAATCCAAAAGTCACCCATCTGACTTCTCTGAAGTACCAATAAAGCTGTTGAACATGGTGCTGGACAAAAATCAAATGAGAAATATTGTCAGATAACTTCAGAGATTAGGTCTACAAAATAAACGTAACTAACTAACTAACTAACTAACTAACTAACTAAAGTTTTATATGTATTACCATCTGTATTTCATATTTTACATATATCTGTATACATATTTTATATGTATTATTTAATCTGTATTTCAAATTCTTTTACTCTACCGTGATGTCTGTGACCATTTGAACATATACTCATAAGTGAAATAAACCAGACCCACATGTGTATATGTGTTTAGTCTCCCTAGTGTAAGAGTACAAAAGGAGAAATAAAAATGGAAAGGTATAACACAATTAAAAGGAAAGTGAGAATTTAAGCATTAAACAACAAAGAAAGGGCAAGGAGAAAAGCTAGGAAACATGACCGGGCAAAGCCATACATTTATATGCACAAGATAGTTAAGGCAGTGATCCTGAGACTCTCTGGCAGGTTTTTGAAACTAGCAGTTAATTGGTAAGATTCTCACCCTGACTAACTATATATGCTGATACCTGTGAACTAAGCAACTACACTGAAGACAGCAATTTGTAATAGTAGGGTCATGCTTAGAATGTCTGTCATTCTGGTCTCCTAAATATGTACTGCTTGTCATGACATACCAATTACTGCCATACTGTCTCTCATTTAAGCTCATGGATCTGGTTTATTTCACTTAATATATGGCCTCAAGGTGTGTTCATACTCTTTTACGTGGCTTACATTTATCTTTCCTCATTATGGTAATACTCCATTATATGTAAATATCACACTTCATCCATTCATTTAGTGATGTCTCTATAGGTCAGCTTCAACATTTAGTTTTGCCGCTGTATGGGTATTCATGTATTACTGTGGTATGATAGCTTTCACCATTTGGGGAAAAGGCGTAGAAGGGGAATAACTTGGTCTAATCGAATCTCCAGTTTTATGTTTCTGAGGCAATTCATGCTGATTTTCACAATGGCTATAGTGGTGTACATATCTACCAACACTATAGAAGTTTGTCTTTCTTTTTTTTTATTTATTTTTTATTTTTTTTTCAACAAATAATACACTGCATATATTCTTCTTAGTGGTTAATTGCTGTACAAGATGCGGACTTGTGACCCTATTTACAAACACCATTAGAACAAATCATTCTATTCATTAATACAATGTAACTATATATCTATCCCAACCACTTTGAATACACAGATACAAAATGGACATTCATC